AGAGTGAGAATTTGGCGTGAACAGCATGAAAGCATGCACCCTATATGCATGAGTACAACCCTTCAACCTGGTGGCGACAGTGTTATGGTTTGGGGTATGTTTTCCTGGCATGATTTGGGCCCTTTAATTCGTGTGGAACGTCTGAATAGCACAGCATACCAAAGTATCGTTGCTGATCAAGTTCATCCTATCATGTTGATGACGTATCCCAATGGAGATGGCTCTTCCAACAAGACTATGCGCCATGCCACGGTGCTCGTATTGTGGAGGAGTGGTTTCAAGAACATGAGGGAGACTTTGCCTTGCTTGGGTGGCCCCCACAATCACCAGATCTCAATCCAATTGAGCATTTGTGGGACGAAGTTGAAAGAGCCATCAGGCAGCTGATTCCACAACCATCAAATCTCACAGCACTGGACAGTGCTATTCATTAGGCATGGTGTCAGATTCCTCGCATCACCTTTCAACATCTCGTGGAGTCAGTGCCAAGAAGAATCGTCGCAGCATTGAAGGCAAAAGGTGGCCCAACGAAGTACTGATGAGGTGGTCATAATAATCTGGCCACTCATTGTGTATGTATGTATGTATGTATGTGTGCGTGTGTGTGTGTGTGTGTGTATGTATATATATATTTATTAGGGATGCACCAATACAAGCATCAGTATCGGCGGCGATACAGAGTATTTGCATGAGTACTCGTGCAAATACTCAGATACCTAAAACGAGTATTTCGTGTCCGCCATCTCCAAGGACACGAAACCGCCACACACAGGACCTCCATAGCGCAATCAAAAAACATGGCCGCGAACATCTCCTCCATGGCCGACGTAAACTCCGCCTCCAAGTCCTCAGTCCTGACTGGGGCAAAAGCCTGAAGAAGAGGTCAGCATGGAGCAGATGACTAGGCTGTGACACGGAGTGGCCAAAGGAGACGGAGACGACACAGCAGCAGGTTAGCAGCACCGCATGGCGGCTGGGCACATGACAACCAAATATATATATGCCTGTAATGTTTACTGCATATAACATAAAAAAAAGACATTGAATAATGAAATTAATATTTAGATCATGCCATTGCTAACTAAGGCTTGTATCCCCCTAGTGGGGGAAATAGATGAGCACATGTCCAGACTCCAGAACACTGTATTGTATAGTGTGGCACAGCTATATCTAATTCTGTATACCTGGCACATTTTAAAAAAAATACAAAAGATATTGATATACAGGTCCAGGAATGCCTTGCAATGTTATTAATACAGCATGGTCAAAGATGAATTGATTACTTGATATAATCACTATTTAGCAATAGAAAAAAAAAATGTTTTTATTTATTCATGCTGTATTTACTCAGCTATGATTCCCTGGCTAGAATCCATAGTTTTGCTCCTGCAAGTTGCAATATCACAGGCAAAACCTCTGCTTTTGCTCCAATTATAACTCCACCAAGCTTTTCCAAAAGTAAAAAAAAATAATCTTAAACTTACATTTAGGCATCATTCACATGACTAACAGCCGGCCCGTACAGATTCATGCTGCTTACTGCGGGTATCGGCGAGTACTTAAAAAAAAAAAAGTATCGGTACTCGGTCTTAAAGTGTTATCGGTGCATCCCTAATATATAAAAAAAAAATATATTCTTCCTTTTAAATCCTCATGTCTTCTCATGCTGGGGGAGAACTTCCCTTTTCAGCTCAGGGCCTCTTCCTGTAGTGCTGGCTCAGGTTACAAGCCTATAGAAACGTATACACAGACACCGTGTATCCATTCCTGAGACAAGGCAGTCTGCTGCAAAACAGAAGTTCTGCCCAGCATGAGAAGAGATACAGATTTAAAAGGAAGAGCAGCAAAGAGAAGGGAAACAACCATGGATTAGTAAGGCACACATTACAGTATTGGTTTATGTTAAAAAATCTGAGGGTTTAATGTCACTTTAAGCTTTCTTTTTTATACCACTCCAACAAAGACACGTTGCGTGTATTTTGATTTCTTCAGGTCCTATTTATGTAGTGATTTGTACCTGCTGCCTGAATGTACTCTGTAAAATAACTTAACCGCGCTGTATTTTCCTTTTATAGTGGAACTACAAAAGATACTTTCCAGTGACTATCCCGAGGAGTACTCTGCTGAGTTTTATGCATCATATATTAATATTCTCCTGGGTGTCTTCTACACTGTGTGCAGGGACATTAAGGAACTCCGTCATTTAGTAAGTTGTTTTATACAAAGTAATGTGCTAATGTAGAGATTTGTCATTTGTTAAAAGAAAACTTACTTCACACAGTTGTTCTATGAACTGGTAACATACTTTAGAGCAGAGGTAGGCAAACTCCGGCCCTCCAGCTGTGGTGCAGCTACAAATCCCATTAGAGATTGCAGGTCTCTGACAGCCACAGGCATGACTTCCAGAGGCAGATGCACGATGGGATTTGTAGTTTCACCACAGCTGAGTTTTGATACTCCTGCTTTAGAACTTCTATAGGGAGAATGAGGTCAGTGCAGAGCTTGTCGGTCACTGTAACATACCTGCTTCATGTCCATTTCTGTGACTGATGGCAGCTCAGCCTAGGCAAAGTGTATGATGGGTTCCAGTGAAATGATTAGCACTTTTTTTTTTTTTTAACAACTCTTCTGGCAGGAAATGTAGTTTATTCCTTTTGTATATGTCAAGGGTTATTCTTAGGGATATCATTATAATGCAGTGAATGTAACATTAATCAAACATTCACTGAAGGTATATCTTCTCAGCGCATGGGATTTAAATTACACCTGCCGTGAACGTTTGGTGAGTATCACATTCCCTGCTTTTTAAATATTCCCCTTTTGTGTGTTTTTTTTTTTTTCCCCACACAGGGTCAGATACATTTTTATTAGGGCTCAGCTAAGTCAGGGCTAGCCAAACTCCGGCCCTCCAGCTGTGGTGGAACTACAAATCCCATGAGTCATTGCAAGATTCTCACAGCCACAGACATGACTCCCGGAGAGAGATGCATCATGGGATTTGTCGTTTCACCTCAGCTGGAGGGCCGGAGTTTGGCTACCCCTGAGCTAAGTGATCTAAATATCTCAGAAATTCAAATGATTCCCGCGTAGTTTGAATGCAGCACATCTATCACATTGATTTGAAACACTGGACACAATTCGCTTCGTTATAAGAAATCCGTTTCATGGCGTCCTTTTTTTTGTGCTCTGGTCAGAAAATGAAATGGCAAATCTGATTGGTTGTTATGAATGATATTTCTCTGTTTTCTTTCCTATAACTATAAAAACAGCACTATTAGTAGGCTGATGAAATGGAAGCATTTATGTATATTTTTATTATTTTTGTTTGTAGTTTTTTTTGTATTTATTGCATTTTCGTTTCTTGTTTCTTGCAGGCTGCTCTGAACTTTCCAAAATTTTGTGAACCAGTAATGAAAGGAGAAGGTAGGGATTGATGCTCACAACAGAATTCATTTTATAATGATATCATAGTTGGAGTTGACTTTGTGTAACTTTTCAGAGTAGGATAACCGGACAAATAGTCATCGGGCCTAATTCTGGAAGATTTTGAGCTCATCTTTTTAAATGGCATGGAATTGTCCTGTGAAACCATTCACTGCAGTGTTCCTACTTGGGGAGAACGATCTAAGGCCCCATTCACACCAGGGCAGAAGCGTTTCAGCGCGGTTTCCATGCACTTTTTGAAAGGGTGTTTTTGGGCATTTTTATTTGAGTTTCAGTGCTGTAACGCAGTTAAAAACGCACTGATCAGCGGGTTTCCATTGTAATTGATATGGAAAAGCACAAAAAAATTAGCTCAAGGAGCATTTTGGGTGGCAGGCGTTTCAGAGCGTGCCGAGGCGTGCGATTGCATGAACGGTCCCCATAGGTCTTGATGGGATCGTTCATGTCGGTGGTTCAGCACGAAGAAATCCGTGCGACCGAACCGCACTGGTGTGAACGGGGCCTAAGAGATCCTTCATTGTATGGGCTCTGCCACAGGGAATTAAAGGTGTTCAGGCACAACCATTGATTGTCTGGCTCTGCCTAAATTTTACTTCTCTAATCTTCTTCAACTGGAACCACATAACCAATTCCTCAGTCAATATTAAACCAACCTGAACCTAGGCTCTTTGTATACCTGACTAGCATTGCAGGGGCTGGGGTGTGCACACAAATCCTGTTATGAATCAGTTATGATCTGATCTGTATTTGGTTTGCACCTCATTTTATCTGTATCTTGCTCCATAATTCGCCCTCTAGTGCTCCGGCTGCAATTTACACTTACTATGGCTGATTGAATTATTTGGTTTTATATTGCATAATACAAGTCTGGTAATGTTATATTAGTATTTCTCACATAAAGGTTCAGTCCCTCCAAAACCGAGGTTTTAATTCTGGGCTGATGACAACAGGTTTACTAATCCACTGGCATCTCCAAGACACCGTCATTGAGGTTTCTCATGTTGCCTGTTTGACTTTTGTGCATTAATACTATTTAAGGCTGAACACCAGGCAGATATAAAACACACAAATAACAAAGTTCTGTAACTAGCAATAAATCTGATAAAATATGGAAGCAGTTAACCTGATTTTGACCTGACATCAGTGTTTTGCAGTTCCTGTACCGCAGGGCTAGGGTGTGAGAGGAAGGAGAAGCACAAGTAGCCAATCGTAAGTGCTATTTTGTTGCGCTAGGTCTATGTGCAACAGTGAGTCTGAAAACAATGTTGTTCCAATAGTATACCGGAACTAACAAAGGTGTACCCGTGTAGCAAATAATCAACCACAAAGTTTCCAATGTGTGAAAGCATACACATGTGATTAAAGGTATAAACATATTTAGTGACTGTGTCTAGCAGATAATTATTTCATACAAAACAGTGTGACGTGCCGGGTTTGCACATCACATAGAAAACTCTTAATAAGCAAACATGAACAATTGGTGAAACCGTAAATAAATTAGCAAGTAGTGAGGATGAATGCAATGAAATTGTTAATAAAGGTAAAGTTCCAACGAAAATGTATAATCAATAAAAATCATCCACTGTATTTCTCTGTGAAGTGCCGGTATTCTAAAGTTGCCCTTACCAGAAAGAAGGAATGTGTACAATATAATATCAACCGGACAAGGCTCCCTCCTCCTCTCATTTCTCTCTACACTCTCCTGGGGAGGGGGAAAAAAAACTCCGCTAACAGGCTGACTATTAGACTGTTGGGAGTAAAAAATACTGGTGGGGGAAAGGAATCTCTGGATTGAAGGCGAATATTGCAGCAAAAGCTGCATTTCTGCTTTAGGCCCCTATATCTTTAGGTGCGATTAGGGATTTCTGTGTCAGGAACTTGTGTTTTCCTGCAGCAGGAATCCCTAATCTGCCGTTTACAAGGAACAATTATCACCCGTTCAATTTTACGATAAGGTGACAGCCGCTGCATTTGAACGCTGGCACACCGCATGTAATCGTATGTGGTATGATTACATGTGGTTAGGAATCAATCACTCTCCCTGGACGCACGATTGATGTTTCAAATGCAGCGGCTGTCACCCGATCATTAACTTGAACGGGTAAAGCTGCTGTTTGTAAACAGCAGAATAGGGATTCCTGCTGCAGGAAAATGCAAGATCCTGATGAAGGAATCCCTAATCGCACCTAAAAATATAGGTGTGAATGGGCCCTTTAAAGAAGTTCTAATCCCTAAATAGACAACAAATCCGTTGCTGAAGCGCAAGTATGTTTTTTATTCTTATTTTATATATAAATTCCCCATATCAGTGCTACTGATCTCCTGCTTCTTTCAGACACTTCCTGTCTTCTTGCATTTACTCCATTGTCAGCTGCACATGCATCTCCGAACTATCTTCCTTATGGAGACAATGATGGATGTGTGCTATGTGTCACCACTGCCGCCTGTATCTCCATCGGACGCACATGTGAGTGCCAACTCAAAGGCAGAAGTGACAGGGTAACAATGTAAGAGCACAGTTTGAGACAGTTGTCACCCCCGAAACAGGAAGTGCCTAAAAACGGATCTCCAGGGCAGGATCAGCAGACATGACTTTAATGAGCTGCAGATTTAATAAGAGTGAATTTGGAATTGCATATGTTAAATCTCATATGAAACGTTGGTGATGTTTTAAATCTTTAATATTTATGTTCTGGGTAACAATCAGCACTGCAAGACTCTGGAGTGGAGGGAGGCAGAACAGGAACTCCCATGAGGTGTAAATAAGTCGGCATGAACCTATCTATAACTATAAAAACTATTCAGGTGTGCCGGCCATTTATATTGGTTATGTTTATATGTTTTTCAGCAAAGGAAGGCGATACACATAAGTTGTGGAGGAACATGGAGCCACATTTAAAAAAGGCCATGCAGACTATTTATCTCCGGGAGATCTCAAGGTATAAAATCACGCTTTATTGTACTTCTCATGATCAGTAATTACATGCAGTCCTCTTCCGTAAAGAGTTCTTGGTTCTTAAAATGTATTCAAAGCCAAAAGTAGTTGTTTTTATTTTTGGATAGTGGGGAAGATTTAGGACACTTGTCAAAATTGTATTGCTGTGTGATTTATATCACGGGCAATAAATGAGCAAAAACTCAAAAGTGGAATAGGAGAGAAATATTCTGATCGGAGCAATTGTTTTGGTAACAATTGTATAAAAGGGTCTCATTTTTCATCTCGCTTCCTGTAAATCTTCACATGGGATAAAGCCAGGAAAAAAATAGCGGGGGACCTAACTCAAACTGTATCCAAAACTTATGGAAAAACAATAAGGTTTTGGCTTCAGTCTAGTTTAGCATAGTTTAGTTATACAAGTGTGGAACCAGTTACATAAATTTTGCCGAAATCTGACCAGTTCAAGATTAATTCTGACTGGTTTCCTTGCGTTCCATAAATAACACTTGTTTATGGATGATACATATGTCTGATGAGCAGTTGGCTCGCACTGACTCATTATTCTTTTTTATTTTTTGTAGACGGTTTCTTTTATATAACTTTCAGCACATTCTGTTATTTAATATTTACAAACCATCAGGATGACTCATTATTCCAATGCATTCATAGACTGTTTCTAAAAGGTCCCCTGTTGATGCTTTTGTTGAAATGTTGCTTTGCTCCTTGTGTTTTTCTATCCATTAAATAACATAAAATATATCCGAAATTCTTTAACAATAACTTCTAGCAAGTAGTTTTTTAACCTCCACTGTAGCACCGTTCCTCTTACTTCTCAACAACCTCTAAGAGGGAACTCAGCCTTTGTCACATGACTTGTGTTACATTGTGTGGGTATAGCAGCCTACAGTCACTGGGTGTGTGGGAGGTTTGGGGACATTTTCTTTTTTCTGCTCCAGCAAAAACCTGGCATAGGACCCAGTTTGGTCCTCCTTACCAACTACCAATATTTCTATCCCGTTTCCATTGCTGCCCGTGTTTGCTTGAATTGACCTTGCAGAATAAAGAAATAAAAACATAACATAGAATGCATATTTAAAAAGTTATGAGGAACTCCACTAAATACAGGGGGGGAGTTGCAGTGACTGTGATAAAAACCTTCCTTCAACAGTTCTTCACCAAGAATGATTCAAGGGTGCTTTATTTGCTGATCCCACTGTGTTAAGCCCAACAAATGATCACATTGACCAGACTATGGCTTATGTTTTGGGAGCTCAGCTATTGAGCCATTAAGAAGCTAAGGATACCAACAAATATATATATATGTATATATATGTATATATATATATCTATATCTATATATAGATATATATATATATAGATATATATAGATA